TCTCATCCCATCACCCCAACCTTTCCCATTTTCACCTGAGCAGTTCGTTACCTTCAGCCCCATGACACAAGACACCCGCCCGGCTCAGCCCATCGCTCGACTATCAGACACGGGACAGGCACCCAAGAGATCGATGTGCAGGCTGTGCAATGCTCCTAGACATGGAAAGAAGCAGAAGGCAAAGAGCAGAGATGCTCTCCGAAAAACCACTCGCTGGCGACAAATAATTTGCAGAACACAAAACCTTTCGCTACTTCTCACACTTCGGGAGAAAGGAAATTGAGGAACGGGTCCCTACCATGTCCGATCTGTCCTTTCCCGACCCTACCTTTTCCCATCAAGTACTTGGACAACCAATCTTCATCCAAGAATGGGGACAGCCTACGAATTGCCGGCCCGTCCTGACCCACCCATGCAATTTACTCAATGGATGACCAACATCCAGACCGTAAAAAAGAGCTGTGCTGTTCATATGCCAGAGTCAAAATGCATTCAGCATGATGAATGCGACAGTGGGTCCTTTTCGATCTCGAGATCGTCCCTCCCAACAAGAAAACAGGACCCAGGAAACATCCGTCAATGTACGCTTTCCAGGAATATCCACATACTACAGCGACGACCCACGTCACCCTGCTTTTACATCTCCCGTTCAAAACATGTCCGTCCACAGGCCACAGTTGGGGTTCGAACCAAACAACCCGGTCGCACATCAACGGACAAAACTTAAACAGGTCAGTTGGGGGGGGTTTGAACCAAACAACCCAGTAGAGCATGCACCTGACTCACATGCAGAGAAAGGCAGGCACATTACAATGGAAGAGAAAGGCAGACAGTGTTTAAAGACCCTCGCACCTCCATGCATGCCAGGGCAGGCAAACACTACCACCATATACCCCTACTAATAAAGACTGATCAACCCGACCTACACTCACGACACTTTACACAAATCACCCTCAGTACGGGCGATACCGCCGATCCTGCCGACCAATTGGGGCTCCAGAATGTGCGTATGTGATCATTCCCTGAGCTCCTGCTCTCCGATAGGCAGTAGCAGGTGGGATCTGGCCTGGTTGTTGCCTGCATCAAGCAGAAAGATGAGCACGAACAAATTGTTTGCGGTCAGTATCCTCACAGAGAGACTTGAAAGAAGTCGGAAACCCAAGAGCCCCAAAGCATAGCATGCCAGAGACAGGTGTTCATCTGCCTAAAGACTTATATCCCGACTAACAGAGGCTTCAAACAACAAGGCATCCAAGACTCCAATAATTTTAAGCGCAACATGCAGAGACAGAGGTAAAGGGCAGCTCGCAAAAACAGGGTACATAGGCGAGAAAAGCGAAGGGTATGCAAAACACTCCCAAATGTTCAAGAGCGTACTTACAGGACATAGCCTACTGTGCCATCCGGCAGCATCATCGGGACCATTGTCATCCCTGCAGGCGTGGGACCTCTGCCGTAAATTACAGGCTGTAGGAAGAACAGCAAGGACATTGAAAAACCAGAGTGAGTCACATGCCATACAACAAAACAAAGCCTAAAATATGCCGGACCCCTGAAATAATAACACACCACCATTGCATCACGCATGCTTTTCGAGGGGCGACCCTAAAGCGACTGCGACGGAAGGCCACATTCCACACAAGTGTGCCCTTTAGGAGACGGTTTGAAACCCTTTCCTAAAACGAGAGGAAATCTCCCACCATGGTCCTAGAAAGAGAGTGAACGAGCTGCACTACTTTCAGATCCCGACGTTCCTCCCTGACCCGGGTGAACCAGAGTACCCCTACAGCCTCTGCTATCCATCAGGCTCTTTTGACGACCTAAAATATGCCAGACCCCTGAAATAATAACACCCCATCGTTGCATCATGCATGCTTTTCGAGGGGCCATCCATCAGGCTCTTTTGACGACCTAAATATGCCAGACCCCTGAAATAATAACACCCCATCATTGCATCCCGCATGCTTTTCGAGGGGCCACCTAAAGCCACTGCAACGGAAGGCCACATACCACACGAGTGTGCGCTTTAGGAGCAATTATGTTTGGAACAACAACCAGCAGTCACATTTATCAAGATTACAGTAAAATACAATGACGTATAGAAACAAATAGCAAAAACAACAGTTGAGTTATGCAAGTCTTTCCAGATCGAGTTCTTCCATTAGGACTTCATAATCACACTAGCGAAATGAGTAGCCAGCTCGAGTTCTTCCATTAGGAGGACTGGATCAGGCAGCTGATTTGCAATTCTGCGATTTTGAGTGCCTAGTGTGAGTCCGCCCTTAGGTTGAGCCTATCCAGCCCAGCAACGTTGCCTTCTGCCAGCACGGTTGAACTTTGCAGCTGTCGTCTGTTCTTTTTCTGGGCAATTTTGCACCCACAGTTTGTTCTTCGTCCGGTGGCACAGGATCTCTGATTACATCTTCCCTTTGGAGGTGGCCCAGGCCTTCTCCCTTGAGTTGTTGGTACCTTCATGGGTTCTGCTGCACCTTTCCTTCCATGTAGCCCAAAGTGCAACCTTGCGTATCATCCCAAACCGGATCTTTTCAGATTTGGTGAGTTAAGTTAGTCCAAAGGTGCAATTGGATAGGGTGTTCTGGAAGGGGAGGAGGAAAGGCTGTCCCATAGTTCTGTTGCTCTTGCCCAGTATTTCTCATCTCGGCGGAAAACCCCGGCACAGGAAAGGAGTCAATCCCTATCTGCATTTAGTGTGATAACCAGGAAGGCCTTGCAAAAGGCAGCTGCGTTCGAACATACAGGGTACTCGGAGATACCAAAGGAGGCAGGAGAGAACAAGAGCGAAGACGACAGCAAGCTGAGTCGACGGCTGTGGTTCCCCATAGCTGAGAGGATTCCTACCAGGAAGGCAAGCGGACAGTCAGTCCTCCACGTGAACGGAGTAATCAATGCTGATCAGGTGTCATTCGACCGGACGGAAGGAAGCGTGTGTGTGTGATCCTATTGTATTCTTTACGACTTGCCGGTGGAAAAGGAACTGGACTGACCCTCCCCAGAATGGATATGGATCCAGGACCGTAAGGCCCTGTTTTGAAGATTTGGGGGCCGGGGGGCGGGGGAGCAAAAACCATTAACATCGTCAGAGCAACTGGAGGGAGAACTACTTTCTTAGCAGGCTGGGTTGACCAGAGCGTGATGGCATTTGCCAGCATGAATTTCATAGGGATTGAGGACAGAAATAGACCCTGCATGTTCAACAGATCCAAGACTACCCTTGTCAGGATACACCTACGGCCCAGGCAACTGACGCACAAATTATGCACTTGCCCAAGGATTCCTACGAGATCCATTGACGAGTGTTAGTGCCATAGTACAATGCGGCAAATACTGCAAAACAGCACCATGGACAACCTTATGGAGTAGCGCATGCACCATTCTAGAGTAGTTTAGAACTAAGAATGACCAAACTCACCTGGGCGCTCGGGTATGCTCTTACTCCAACATGCCCGTAGCCAGCATAAGCTCCTGCTGCCTGATATGCATATGCTGCGGACCTCTGCGGCTGGTATTGTGGCAATAGCCCTGCAGTTCCTCCCCGAACAGGATAGGACGGCTCCGGCGGAGGAGGTGCACGCTTCTCAGCTGGGGGCTTCGCAAGCGAGCATTCGAGGGTCCTCCCTGCGACCAGCCACAAGCAACAACCATCAAAACAACCATCAATTACTGACAATTACACTTTCCTTTAGCGCACTAAATGACCTGTTGCGGCTTCGCTCGCAACAACAAATATGATACATTTCATTCATTGTCGAGGCAACTGATCGAAGCATACTCTCCCTCTCCCTCTCTCTCTCGTACACAAAAAAAGGGAGTAAAAAAACAAGATCGCGCCACACGGTGCATCTTCACCCTCCCTTCCAATGAGCCAACTTAGACCTAACTCTCCCCCCTACCCCATGCCCCATCTCTCTCTCTCTCTCTCTCTCTCACGTACACATACTTACCCTCCACTCCACACCGCCAACTTTGCCCTAACTCTCCCCCCTTCCCAAGCCCCACTCTCTCTCTCTCTCTCTCTCTCTCTCACACACACACACACACACACACACACACACACACACTGTCGCATACCGTAACGGTGCAGACCAGAACAAGAACCGACCTCTCTCACATAGTACGAGATAACGCAGCGAAAGGCTAATATACCAATGATCCGACCAATCAATGTCGCACTGCAGACCAAACATACATCATCATCATCCCAAGGTGTGAAGGGCCTGGCGCTACACACAGGAAGCAGGCGCCAGGTCCATGCACAGACGAAAAGGAGGGGATCAGACGAAGAAGAGGGGCACTTATTTTCCATCTGGTCAGGCACTGCAGGCCCGTGTGGCTGCGCAGTATGCCGCACATACACACAAACAAAAGAGGGCAAAAGAAATACATAATAAAAAATAGCGCACTTTTAGCCTCCCCGCCCTCCACCAACTTTAACCTAACACTCCCCCCCCATCCTCATCCCCCCCCTCTCTCTGTGTGTGTGTGTGTGTGTGTGTGTGTGTGTGTGCGCGCGTCACACACGCACACACACAATACATGCACACAAGACACGGGAAACGAAAGATCGCACCACATGGCATGCTTTTGCCTCCCCCTGCAACCGCCAGCTTTGCCCTAACCCTCCCCCCTCCCCCATCCCGCATCTCTCTCTCTCTCTCGCTCTCTCTCTCTCTCATACAAAGGAAAATCGGGGATATTAAAAAAAAAACTAGAATAAGCACCATGCGGTATGTACCTTTCCCCCCCTCTACCAACTTTGCCTCAACCATCCTCCCTTCCGCATCCCTCATCTCTCTCTCAGCCTCTCTCCATCACCAATCCTTCCTCCTTCCTCACCCTTTCCCCATCATCATCATCATCCTCCATCGAGGCTCCTCCCCCACCATCATCTTCATCCCCTCTCTCTCTCTCTCCGCTCCTCCCCCACCATCATCTTCATCCTCTCTCTCTATGTATGTCCATCAATCCTTCCTCCCTCCTCC